AGCCAATTCACAGAGGGGGATTATTAGGAGGCCAATAGGAAATTTGGCCAGGACGACGGGGTTACACCCCTGCTATTTTCGAGAAACACCCTGGGATTTTTTATGACTACAGAGAGTCAGGACCTGAGTTTTATGTCTCATCCGAAAGACGGCACCTGTTTACAGTATAGTGTCTCCGTCACTATACTGGGGCATTAGGACCCACATGGACCGCAGGGTGAGCGCCCCCTGCTGGCCCCACTAACTGCTCTTCCAGCAGCAACCTTAGTTTTTCCAGGAGGTCTCCCATCCAGGTACTGACCAGGCTCACACCTGCTTAGCTCCAGTGGGTTGCCAGTTGTGAGTTGCAGGGTGATATGTCTGCTGGCATTTGTGAAGCAATTGTTGTTGTATGCACAGTTTCTCCCATTTTATCCGTGGAAGAAAAAAACTGGTGGCCTCCCTGACTAATGCTCCTCTTGCACCTTAATTACACACACATGGACTCCATTCAACTAACTATGTGACTTCTAAAGACAACTGGTTGCCTTTTTAGGTATGCCATAGGAAAGGGGGTGAATACGTATGCAATAAGTTATTTTCGTGTTATATTTATAAATAATTTAGGTGGATCTGGAGAAGACAGCACAGTGGAGCAGTGGTCAGCATTGCTGCCTCGCAGTGCTGGGTTCAATTCTAGACATCAGGTGCTATCTGCATGCTGTATGTGTGTTCCCTCCGTCCTTGCGTGGATTTCCTCTATGTTCTCTGCAGACATACCGGTAGATTAACTGGCTTCTAGGAAAATGTACCCTGAGGTGTGTGTCTATGTGTGCTTGCTGAGATTGGCTCCAGCTCCCTCATGAGCCTGAATTGGATGAAGCAGTTAGAAAAAAGATGCATGGATCTGTAGAAGTTTGTTTTCACTTTGACATTATATACAGTTTTGTGTTGACAAATGTGTTGACAAAAATCCAAAACAAACACAGATTCCATACAGTAACACAAACTGTGAAAAAGTCCAAGGGGTAGAATAATTTTGACTAAGCTAGGTATGTTAAAACTACACACTAAATAAAAAAATATAATTGGTAACTTTTTAATTTGCTTTGCTTACCTCAGGCTCATAATACTTGTTATCATTAGCCAACATGTTTTTATTACCATTTCCAACAGTGAAAAGGACAACCTTGCTGAAAAGCTTATCAAGGGAAACTTTGTGTCATAGTTATCTATTAAAAAGCTTAGAATTCAGCACTATAAACACCTACCCAAAGAACTTTAATAGACACTGCCCAAGTCAGAGCAATCTGTCCTTCTGCTTAGCAAAAACTGCTCTTCACAGCTTCGCCATGGCACCATCTTCAGGGTAACACAATTATTGCCAAGGTAAGTCACGTCCACCTGATAGATTTAGAGTCATGTTTTGAACAATGCTGTTATATATTAAATCTATTCCACTGACAGTCTTGTCACTGTAATATATACAGTACTAACTCCTACAGTCCATTGCAAGAGAAGAGAAAAGTATAGTGGTGTTTTGCCCCCTAGTTCAAAAGAAGCATTTACTTCTTGTCCTATACCCAACTAAAGATCATTTTCATGCAGAATATATTTTCAGTGCATTGGTCTAAGATTTATAGCACTTTCCAAATCTTTCATTTTGTCAGCTGTAACCTTCTTGTACCTATTCTGACTTTGTCCCTCAACATCTGAAGCATGCAGTATTTTTTTTTCTCTAAACTACAACCATCAGATATTATGCATTGTCAAGAGATTCTCCCTGGAAGAAAGGCTGACTGATCCATAGTAACACTAATATAATCCTACCCTAATCATTCATTCTATTATTCAGATTAAATCTTTGTTAGTAGTGGTAAAATGCTGCTGACTGGAGCTCCATTCACTTTTCAGCTCAAGAACAGCTGCTTATAATTGTACTGATTGCCCTTCATAGATAATCTTAGTGGACCATGCATATGTTCAGTCCATTTAATTAAGATGCAAAGCAAGATATTTTTCAGTCAAAAGCAAAGGCTGTTCAGATTACTACTTCAATTCAAAATTTGCTCTGTTTTTAAGAAAAATTAAGGATTGCAAGTATCAAATCACACAAGATCATACATTCTCAATTTAATTGCTTAGAAACCTTTTAAAAATTATATCCACCACTTCAAATAATTAGTTCTCAAAGCTTGAAATATCCCTCAGGAAATGGCATTTTAAACATTGTCCAGAACAAAAGTAGGTCTTAATGGGACAGATTAAATCACAAAGCATATTATTCCCTGTATTTCATAAATGACAAACTGGAAAAAGAGTGTATGTTCTTGACCACTCAGGGCTGAAATCTGAAGAAGACATGATTGACATTTCATTTCAATACACAGAAAAGATGCAGGGACAGGTGAGACAATCTCAAAACATGGTGGTAAAATCAATTCAATATGTTAAAATCAAACCAACAAAAGATGGCGCAGGCCTATGCTTCATGAAGACGAAAACAATAATGATATTTACAAAGAAGATACGAATATATTCTGGGACAACAAGACTGCTTCAGCAATTTTGGGGGTCACACACTTAATTAATAATATGAGATACAATTAACAAACTTAAACGTAAACAAACATAAAACATACTGTATGTATAATGCATTTAAATGTGTTCTGACAATTTGACAACACCTACAGGAGACTAAACAGAGAATTCCTCTGGCATCTAATACATCCTGCAATAAACAGCATAGAGTACAGCTCTCCATCTTAGTAGTTTCTCTTCATAGGCTTTTTCTGATGCAATTAAGGGTTAACTTTAAAATCCTAATTTTGATGTGCAAATCAATTTACAGTATTATGCTCAGTTCCTTGAAGGAACTCCTCTACCTGCACATACCTACTTGAACGTCAGTTTGTGTATTACTCAATAAGGAAATGAAAACAAAAGGGGAAGATCACTGCTACAATCGCCTAAATGTTGCAATGCTATTACTTATCAGGCTTAGTATATATCTTTTCTTGAAGGAAAAATTAAAAAATAAGACTTTTGCAACCTACTTCATACCTGAAATACAATTGCATAATTGCAACATTTTTTTAATGTAGCCTAAGCTATAAACTGAATGATGATTTGTCTGTTGACAAAAATGGCGTTACCTCCAATGGATTCAAATCACAGCCATTCAGGGTCCCTCCGGACACCTATACTTCACAGATAGCCAAGAATCCCAACACCCCAAAGGGCTGGGCCTCCTGCCACAGAAGAACTCATGGATGTCACCTCTGTTAACAGGCTCAGTGGGAAATGAGCCCTGTTATGATTCATTGCACTTATATTGCACTTTTCATCCCAAAGTGCAAATAATCATAAAAGACAAGACCCACTCATCCACTACTGCAGTGCAGCAGGCATGCACCAGCAGCTCCACGTCAGTATATAACACTATTATATAGACAAAACTATAATGTTTATTGTCATAAATGTCCGTCTTTGCTAACGCTAACCAACACAGTTTTGCCTACTGGAGAAAAGTCTACTTGCATATCAAATATATTGAATGTTCACACAGCACAATCACCAAGTGTTCTAGAAAAAAAAGGATGTAAGGATTTACTGCATCATTTGTAATCAAGAGGAAAATCGCTTTTAGGAGACTTTCACGGTGTTGGGTGTGCCCTTCATTACTGTATGTATACCTTTCCCACAAATTGAACGAGAACCTTGCTAGACTAACAGAACAAAGAAAACTTCTTACGGATTTAAAACACGCGCCTTAAGTTTCAGATATCGAGCCAGAGCTTCAAGTATACAAAACACATGAAGGAAAGGTACATCAAATCAAGACGTTTCCAAAGGCAGTGGCCTTCAACTACAAGCTATTCTTGATTTCATTTATCTTCCAACTCACTGCAACACGTAATTAAGAAGTATACATGTGCTGTAAAAGTACACACCTTTAAATGAAGTGTCGATTAAAAAAACCGTTCAGTTGTGCAAAAGAAAACTTCGATTTAAAACAGTGTACAACATGTCTAAATCATATTAGATGAAAATTGTGCACTAGGGTTCTTTATTGTTTAATTATGAAGTATTTCCATTCAAGATATTGTATTTATAACATAAACAACTCGTTTGAATGTTTTAAGAACAAAATAAATGCCGAGATCCATTCAAAACCACACCAAAACGTTTGACAGACAACATCTGCCAAAGAGCATTCATAGAGCGATTCTAAACGATAACAGCGAAGAACAGGTTTTAATTGTTATTTTTTACTATTTCACTACACACATTCTATCCTATAAATGCCATTAATAGCTATACTCGAAAAAATCCAATTAAGGTATCTGGGAAACCTACTAATGCACCATACTCTTAGAATGAAGTCCTTTTAAGTTACAAAACAACCTTTTGGACCTCATGATTTGCATTATTATTATTCCCCAGTTATGAGTTTTTGCATTCCGTAACACTGTATGTGGTATAAAAACAAAAGAAAAATTAAAAAACTAATCAAGCAACAACACGTAATTTAACATCACATAGCCAACCACGGCGGGATTTCGTCTGCTTTTTCTGGTAACAGCAGACTGATCAACCGCAAGAACAAACACTTCAGCTGTACTGGGTAGTGAAATTCACATTAAAAATCCTTTAACTCTGAGTTCACTACTTTCGTGCCAGGGGTTGCAATTTATACCCAACCATGCATAGCATAAGCTCCTGGATTTCTAAACGAATCACAGGAGTCGTATCTCTCTTCAGATCTCATGACATCAAAATAGCCCAACCATAAGCATACTTAGCATTCCTATAATTTAGCCCTTAATGGATCTGTCAGCCTGATAAGAAACTAAAACAGACCTCTCTACATTATATGAGCTCATTGATTCTTAATTCGCTTGCTCTGAATTCAAACTCGGCAAACCTCTGGTCTACCATGCTGAAACTTATGCACGACTGCAGCAAGACATTTAAGAGGCAGATCAACATATTTATTAAAGTAAAATTAAATATCATACCAGATAATCCATGTACTGGGTTAGTAGACGTAAATCTTCCAATAAGTCAAGACGTTAAGGTAAAGTTGCTTCTTGTGTATTTGATGTATAACAGATGCATTCAAAGTACTGTATATGGCACAGTGCTTTGTATTCCCCGCCTTTCCACGGTAGAAAATAAATTCAGTATAATTCCCTGTGCTATACAGAGATGGGCTGAAAGGTGGCTTTATAATTGAGTTACAGTCTGCGACTCTCGAGGCTAATGTTCTTGCAGAATGAAGCAAGAGCCCCCTTTTTTGTCCCACTCCCTACTTTGATCACGAACACACTGTTACAGGAACTGAGTAAGCTCTCTTTTCTTTTGCGTAGGGGAGTCATCTGATCAGACACGTGGTACTATTTTCATTCACCTAAGGGTAACGCCCCTAACAGCTGTGAGGCAGTACAGAATTTGACCATTATCATGTGATAGGGGCCTTTTTCAGCGAGACCGTATTTGATACTGTTCAATGTATTTCCTTTCATACTGCTGTGTGTGTTTAACATTTTGTCGGTAAAGTGGAAGTGGTTTGGAGGATTGATGTGTTTAGAACTGACAGTGCAAAGCTTTCTGGTAGGAAGTCTCGTTTCCAAATACCGTCACTGTAAAAAAGATGCAGTAGTCTACAGAGGCCCACACTTCCAAATGCGTTACGGTGGAAATATTCAATATTTTTAATGTTTAATTTAATATTTTTTAATGTAAGATAAACGCAATACATGTTTAATTGCATTTAAACAACGTCTCGCGGTTTATCTTACTGGTATTACCAATATTATCCTGTAAGAAATTAAAAACATTGTGGATTCTGTTCCTCGCCAAGAGCCTAAAGACCCTCAAGCAAACTGTGAGTCGGTTCTCCGACATAATGTTCTCCACACCATTCAGCCAGTAAGGGTAAGATAAATATGTAGTGGAATATTTTTGCAATAGCCAGAGTTGAAAAGAGCTGTGCATGGCAATCTCCTGATGAATCGGAATGGTCATGCATTGGTATAAAAAGAAAGTCTTAATAGTAGAGAGGCAAAAAGTTAGTCTTTCACTGTGAGTTTATTACTGCAAAAAGAGAAATGCATTCATTTGTGAAGCAAATATACATAAAACATACAAGACACATTACAATAAGCAAACAGTAGTTCCTGTGAGAAAAAGATTAACATCCCAAGCAGACTCTTCTGAGATTTGGAAGCAGGAACAGAAGTAAATAATACTGTCTCCCCAAAAGAAGCAATCAAACTAAAGAACAATGAGTACATAGGCTGACTATATTGTGTCTGAATCTGAACATATTATTGTATATAAATCTTGTACTTATATATTACATTTAAATACCCATTTGGACTTATACCATTTGCTATGCTGACACTGTGTTAGTTCAGGATTTCAGCTTTGGGACAAGCCTTTACAGTGGTAAGGACAGATCATCATGGTTGGCCACACAGATCCCTATGTCCCTGAAGGAACAGATTCCCATTGTCTGTTTGCAGCAGTTTTGAGTCCAAATTTTGGGTTGGCAAAGTCTTCAGAGAGAAGTGAATCACTGGGGTGAATCAGCCTGCAAAACTCCTTGATTTCTAACCTCCGCTAAATATGTCTGGGATGCTCTCAAACAACATATTGCATCCCAGCAACATCTTCCCGGAGCAATTCCAGAGTAGTTCACAGCCATCAGAGAGAATTGGGACTGTTTAATATTCCTTTATTGTCAGGCTTGGTCTGCAGAATAGGGTAAAGGAATGAAGTTAGGGATTGGCCAGAAAGTAATAGTCCTTGTTTATCTGTAGGAGACCGAGATTCACTTTTTTTAAAAAGGGCTGCTTCATAGTGTTCCTTTGACATACATTATTATCAATACTTTTTTTCTAGAAATGTTATACAATGGCCTATTGTGTTTACTTATGTTCAAATATCTTTAAAGTTTTGGGTGTACTACTGTACATTTACTCTACGAAAACCTAAAAAGGTTTATATTGAAAAACAGCATATTTACTTTGGAGGAAACGGTGAAAGATTTATTTCAATTGACCCACAGATAAATCCCTGTTTCCCTCTAAATAGTGTTCACTGTCAACATTAATATTCAGGACATTGACACAGACAGCACTGTAGCACTATAACACATTTGTATTGTAAAAGCTTTACTACTTAACAGAATGTCATCAACAAGGCAAATTACTGTTGTAAATTAGGGACAAAAATGTTTTGAATGTCATATTCTCTTACTGCTCTCTTGTCACATATTATTGCTCCCTTGAAGTGAATATTGTATCCGTAACAGTGGAAAACTGTAAATAACATGTAGTCTACTCCACATTTGCTAGTTTCCAAATGTTAAATTGTGCATTATAATTAAAAAAGAAACTTAAAAGAAAGCAATTGATGCTTAAACATCTGCTATACATGTAGTCTACTACACAACTTGTACTGTAGTTATCAAAGTTAGATTGCACATTATACATTTATAAAAATAAATAAAAGAAAAGGCAATTTATGTTTAAACTCTGCTATTCATCAAAGCAATTCAGAATAAAGTTCTTTTGGGTGTTAAATGAGTGTTTAGTTGAGTGAAGCGAATCATTACATTCTGTTAAGCACTTTGTTATGCACTGACTGCCAGAAAAGCTTAACTGAATAATTAATGTTTTTTTATGTCAGAATTGTGGACTGTTTTTTGATTTCTCTAACTAAAAAAGTAAGGCTTTTTATACAGCAAGATATAACAGTCTATTAGAACAAACAAGTTTGTTTCAATTTTAATTTGCATATCAGACACAACTCTTTAATTTCAATTTATATGCAAACTGAGGTTAATAGGGAATGTATGCTTGAAAAGATAGGTTGAATTGTTTCCGCTCAATCTTGCAAAATATTAAAGCCAGGTTTGGATATATTTAGTCTAGATTTCAGGACATCATATTAAAAGGATGAAAACCAGCTGGGTTAAATTGGTATACCTCTTTTTTGTGGTTATCATTTCAGATGGATTGAAAAAAGAGCAAGTAAGATGCTTGACACCTATCTTAGGAACTTATTATTACTGCAAAATCAAAAGATGTATGGTCATCCCAAGCATATATGATAAAGGGAACTGAAGCAAATATGAAGATATTAATAATTAGGATCAAGATGGCTTCAGCAAAACATTGATGTGACACACTGTGTCTCAGGAGAGTGTGGTACTTAGCTACCTCATAACCCTACCCATAACCCCATGGCCAGATTATCACAGCATGCTGCATCATCAATTATTTATCTTATTTCACTCTAAATGGCATTTAGATTTTTTTTCTAAATTAGGTTAATTGGAAAGCTATATAGTATTTTACATAAATTATATTTTGTTCTTAGTTTGTTGTGGTTAGTCTTGTGGTTATAAAATAAGAGCATGAAAAGAAGTACAAATGTGAAAATTATATTCCTTGTTACACAAACATTCAAAGACAAAGCACAGGCTTGCAAGTTGACACTGTAAAGGTTTATAGGTAAGATGTACGGATGTGTAGTACACAGCTGCTGAAGGAAGAGACTACGCTAGCAGATGAACAGGCGAAATACAACCAAAGTGTAGTTTGGGGCAGCCACAAAATTATGCATTTGTCTCTCCTTAAGGATGGAACCAAATAAGGAAATCACTCTAATCCTGAGGAAAAACAAAATGTTTAATTGTTTAAAAAATTATTTAAATTCAGCATATATTGTATGGCCTTTTTACTGCTGAAACAAAAGAGAAAACAGTCCTTACAGTATGTCAATGTCTGTAATTAACTGAGGTCTGGACTAAACCTTTCAGTAACACCTGAAATATTAATTTATAAAATGAGAGTTTAACAGGATATTCCATAGTATTAAGTATAATTCATACAATTTCAAGACAGACCAGTATAACCTGTTCTTCATAGAGTATAGATTGTTATAATACAGCACTGCAATCTTCTTTAATAATGAAGTTCAAATTCAATGTTTATTTTCCATTTGTAAAATTCTTAATCGTGCTTGTTCAACAATGGTAGACAAGTAGTACAAAAACAGTATCTTCTAGTGTACACGATACAATACAACATACAATATATATTTTACAGTGTACAATAGTAATAAAAAATGTGCAGTATATAGAGCAAAAATGCAACAATGTGTAGCTGTTGAAATGAGGTCCTTCTGACACTCTGTTCTATGACCTATAACCACTTTGACAGATTCACAAATATTCTCTTTTATCCAGCAAGTTTTTACATATATTATTTTCTTTAAAATGTAGACAAACAGCAGAAAATATGATTTTCATGACTCTGCTATCCAGGCAGAGCAAGCTAGCTTGAACAAATTAAAAGTTACTGTTCAAAGCATGAGTGAAGCCCTGGCATTGCTGCTGGGAAAAGGAGACCCCATCCATGGAATTTTTCATGTTTTTAAAACATGTTCCTTCTTGTTTTTGATTCACCTGGTTGTTCAGCTGGAAGTCTGTGTCACGTCTCTTGCCTGTAGAGATTTCTCCACAATTTGGTGAAAGAGCAAGAGCTCTTACTGAGCAGAGTTACATCCCCTTAGCCCTCCCCCTTCACCCATGCAAAGTCTTACCCTACCTGCTGTCTCAGAACTCCCATCATGTCAATGATGAAGCTTTTGTGGACTGTGGGGCAGGTGATAATTTTTTGGCTTTACATCTTAGAATTACTCTGGAACCGTGCTCAACCTCTGCTTATGCTCAAGCAATGGACAGACATTCCTGATTGGTTCAGGAATCTTTGAAACACAGGCTAGTCCTCTCCTTCTCTTTATTAGTAAGACAACTGTAAGACCATTTCATTTGTATGGGTCACTTCTCTTCTTTATCCCCTGGTCTTAGGGTTTCCTCGGCTGGCATGACACAATCTCTGACAGGAATCGGAGACCTCTCGGCCTGGAGTTCTGCCGGTCTGGAATGATGTATTTCTGTGCCTCTAACAATAGCCTTGTCTGACGTCTCTTTAAGATTAATTGCCTGCAGAATATGAAGAAGGGATGGTGACAAGTGAAAGACTGTTTTCAACACAAGCTAATATGAATACCTGGTTATACCCTTTGGCCTGTTTGTCTTCAAAGTTCGTCTGAACAAATTACAAATTAATGTTGGTTTAGATTGACAACATTCTTGTATTTTTCCACTCTTATGGGAGCATGTCCAGCACTTTGCACAGGTTGTCTTTCATCTGAGGCATCTTTGTGCTAAACTGGAGAAGTTTGAATTTCATGTTTCATGATTTTCTATTATTGCATATGTATCCATAATTTCAGTTCTATAGTGGCATCTGTCACAGCCCTTTCTAAGAAG